TGCTTGTTCTTTCTGTGCGAAACCGTAACACTTTTCTGTGTGTAACACTTAAGTTTCCTATTGGAGTAAGATTGATTTTTTTTTTTTAGTACTTATTTTTCAAAATAAAGTTTAAATGCCAAAATAAACTGGCATAGTGCTGATCTGCCAGGTAAAGCTATAGAAAGCTTGTTAGTAGCAGCGTACTTGAACTGAGATAACTGTGTTAGGAGTGATAGCAAGACACATTTCTGCTTCCAGATCTGTGCTATTACAGCTGTGGGATTATGGGATAATAGAGCTGTTAATGGGGAATGAGTTACAACTGGAATTGGAAAAAATGCTACCATTACATAATCTATAAACACATCTAAGAATATTGACTGAGTCTTCAGTTTTTGAAGTTGCTGTTCCTATGAATAACTTTGTCCAACTTTCTTTTTTTTGGGGGTGGGGGTAGTGCCAGAACAAACAAAGACAAGTGTAAGCCAGCCTCAGCCTGTCACCTCTAACGGCACTTCCACAGTAACCAGCACTAATAATAATGCCAAGCGGGCCACAGCCAACAGTCAGCAGCAGCAGACCTTGCCTCGATACCCTCCTCGTGAAGTACCACCGCGATTTCGACACCAGGAACAGAAACAGCTTCTGAAACGAGGTCAGCAGTTACCAGTTATAGCTGCAAACCTGGGATCTACTCCTAAAGTATTAAACGGCCAGTCAGGAGGCAGCACTGTCACAAATAAGCAGCCAGTGACCAACGGAGAAGTGCCGAACAGCAGCAAAAAACAGCCAGGTGAGGGGGGGGTACCTGTTTTCCTTTAACTAAAGTCTAATAGTTGAAATTCAATTCTCAGCAAAGTATTTGAGCTAATGCTATTTAAGCTTTAAATGTAAGCTGTGGCATGATGAGAATTTTTCCTGTGTCGTAGCTTAATATTGCAGGGTGGTTTCAGGCATCTTTGTGCAGGTTTTGTACTGAAACTCAGGACATTTCAGCTGCTTGTTGTTGCCAGTGGTGCGCAACAGACCTGTCTGTCTGCGAGCAGGGGCTGAAGCTGGTGTGACCACTGCTGTGTTCTGCATTTCCAGTCGTTATCGTAATAATTGATCTGAGCGTGGTCATGGTGCGAATCACCCAGTTTTGATACGTGGGTCTCAGAAGGAGGGGTCTTTCAGGCAGTTCCCAGAGCATTCCAACAGCATCTCAGGACTTTCTTCTTTTTTTTGGTGTGTGTTTGTTTTTGTTTTTTGGTTTAATTTGTCTTGCCATCTGGAGATACGGAGAGGGTACAGCTTGTTTAGAACAGCAGAATTGCGTGGTGGTGTTGGGTCAGAGTTTTTCTTTGTTCATCTACCTGAAGCTAGGTTGTTGTACAAACCTGAGAGACCTCTACCTTTATTACTGTAAGTATTTAAGTATAGCTATCCTTCATTGTTTTGGCTTGTGACACGCTCCCTTCAACTACCTTCTAAAGGCGAGTAAACTTACCTGTCACCTGTGCATAATGTGCCACCCAGTGAATGTACCAGGATACAGTTCGGCAAATTTTTGGGGACAGTAAGGACAGTCTATTTTTGGCTGGAAAAAAGTAATTTTCTTTGTAGGGATCTAGATTTTCAAAGGGATTTGGTATTAATGCATGCTAACACTTAATATGGTGGACAAGTGCTTTCTTATTTTTATACTTGTATTTATTTTTTTAACGTGCATGATGTAACTTCTTCCCACAGATAGTTTCTTCTGAACTTTACTGAATCCCCAGTGTTACATGAAATTAGTGTTTTATATGCTAGTAGTGTTTTATATGCTGTGCAGGATGTGACTCCTAGCCCCCTCAGTTACAAAAAAAGATTTCTGGAAAATAGTGTTGATATTTCAAGTTTTAATTAAATTTTGAACTGTTCTGATTACTGGATCTCGAAGAAGCAGTATTTAAAATGAAAGCAAACAATCAAAGCATTGGAAGCAGTTTATCCATGTGCCCCTGGAGGAATGTTTCCGATATTACTTTCCAGTGTTATTTTTGTAACGTACTGATAGAACTCTTTGCCATTCCAAGAAGTGATTTTTAAGCAGTTTAATTTTTTTTTTCACTTGTACAATTTTGTTCCTGTCTATAGTCAGGTTTAAAGTGACCTTCCATGTACTTGCTTGCTCCTAAGATGAAACTTTCTCCAGCACGTATCCTCTGCTGGTCAAATTGTATGGTAGCAAGTAGCAATTTAAATAAAAATTCACATATAAACTAATCTAAGAAGTATTACTCCTTTTACAACCTATTAAACCCTTTAGTAGTACCTAGAGGGTTTTTTCAGTGTACTGTCCTTCATTTTGTGAGCCCCAGCCCAATATTTGATTAGTTGGGTTCCCATTTGTGTATTGCATTCTGCCCAGTTTTGCTCAAGTGCTTGGTTTTGTGCTGGCGTGGCTGGGCAGCCTTTAGGCTGGGAGACGTCCGCGGTCCCTCTGCGGTGCTGCCGCAGCGCTGTGCTGCCTGTCCAAGGCAGCTGCTTTGCTGGAGTGGTTCTGCGGTTTGAAGAATACCTTAATTAATTGAGTAAGAAGTCTGTAAGTCCAGCTGGTAACGAAAAGGTTGTGGGAGCCTTTGAGGAGAGAAGGGTTGGCCAAATCACTTTCCTGTCTTAAGAAAATGTTTGTATTGTCTGTAGCATCCTGTCAGGTCTTTGTGAACTGTGTGCTGTGCTCAGGGCATTCCCTGTGTCCAAGGTGGACTGGTCAGCATCGACAAGTGGGCTTGGGAGGCCAGGGTCTCGTTTCTTGGTGCTGCGCTCTTGGAAGATCCCGTTCCTCTAGTATGACCGGGAATAAGGTCTGGTTTGGATCTTTTGTCATGTTCTTTGAGAAATGTAGGTAAGATGAGAACATAAAGGAAAATAACTTTTCAGTGTTGGATTTCTGTGATGGTTTCAAAATCTTGCCTAGTGAATTGCCTGTGAGGTAGCGTGGAGGTGGCCCTAGTCCAGCAGCATGCGAGAGTGACTCGGTGTCTTTTGACACCCTTGTATCTGCAAGGAAATACTGTTGTCATTTGCCTGTCTGCATCTTACTCGCTTGCCCTCCCTAGCTCCTCCTTTAGCCTCCAGCGGCAGCTTCTAGGTACTCTCCTTGTTGTGATCGCTGAAATTAAAATTCTCAATACATTTGACATACCTGTAGATCCCTTCCTCTTGAAAGAGTATCCATGTACAGGCCATTTGGGTTAACAAATTTTATACCCTAACGGAGTATCTTTGAAGATTGTTAAGTTCTTGGCTTTTTTTTTTTAATCGTTTAATGGATATTGGGATTGATCAGTATTTCAGGGCTAAAAGAAAAACTGTAGCTTGAAGTGTGGAAGTCAAAATTGCTGGAATCGGTAATGGCTCCCGTTGTTCTAGCTTGTCGTTCCCTGACAGACCCCGGGCTAGGATCTCTCCTTAGTTCCAGCAGTGGTTGTAACTGTTGGATAGGTGTTTTGCAAAAGCCAGGGAACACAAATACTGCTAAATTTAAAGTCTTCCTTTGATTGTCCTGGCCACAGTAAGTTTTTATGTCTAGTATTGGAGAATTTTTCAGTCACATCAGTGGTTAAAAAAAAAAAAACTCTTGTGTTTTGCGTGGTCAATCATCTTCTGTTTTGAAAATGAACCTGCGTTGTTCAGAAGTAAAGCTTAAGAAGGGGTAGTCCTGTGGGTTGGGGTCTTTCTGCTGTTTTTAGCACATTTGGCACATTTTTTTGAATAAGACACGAGCGAAGCTCAGGCCGTGTAGTACTTCTGCAATAGATACAGTCTTGTACCAAGGTGGTTATTTTAAGAAATCTACAGAAGTAGCACTTGATCAGAACGTTTTCGTACCCAGTTCAGTTGTTTGCTTTACTGAAATTGTCCCCGATGTGTAAACTTCACATGAAAGCAAGGTCTTGAATGCTGCCTTGGTGTGTGTGTGTTTGCCTCTGGGCTTTGAAACGCATCGGAATCGCCGGGTGGTTATTGCAGAGTGAAGCAATCTATGCAGCGAGCTACGATATTTGGCAGCAGTGATTGCTTACAACTGTGGGGCAGAGCAGAACGGGAGAGCACCGTCGGGCTCCTGGCGTCAGTCTGCTTACTTGGACTCCTCCTCTGATGCGAGTGGGTCTCGCTTGGTCCTTGTGCATCTTGCCAGATGTTGGGCTACAGCCAGAGCCTCTGGAAACAGAAGGTTCTTGCGGGAGCTGGCGCGTTCGCTCTCGCTTACTGCAGGAGTCGGGGAAGAAGGGAGCAGTTGGGATTTGCAGCTACTGGTGATGGAGGTTGACTTAATTTAGGAAACCTTGTCTTAAAAGTAAGAGTTATGGTCTCCAACTGTAAAATTTGTGAATATGAAACATTAACTTTGGTTTCATATGCTGCCTGGAGGACACTTGGAGGAAGAGCGTTTTTTTTCATTATGCACACACTTAGGCTGAACCGGCGTTGGACTGTACGCGGTTATTTCTGTTTGATAAATCACGTAGCAGAAGAGTGACTCTCGGGTGGAGAAAGCGTGCCCTTCAGAACAACGGCACGAACTTGCTCAAGTTTCAGGGCTGACCGCTGAAGTTCTAGGTTAGCACAGTCAGAACAGGTTTTGGTTTCGATGACTATAAATTCTTCCTCTCTTTTTGTATACATCAAACTTTTAAGATTAAGGACATGTTAAACTGGTTAACTAAATGCCAAATATATAAAAACTAGCTAGTAGTGGAAGTATTTAGTAAAAGCAGCAAAATTGCTAATAAATCTGAGCACTGCATGTAGCCAGCTGGGTTTGCTGTCGGTGTCTCTGCGCAGCGCTGTGGGCGAGGCGGTTCAGAACTGCCTTGTCGCTAGCGCAGTCATGGGCTTGAGATGGCTCTTAAGAGCAACCTGTCCTGAAAAAGGGGTGCCAATAAATGGCTTTCGTGTAGTGAGTGGTTTGGGGACTGTTCTCAAAGGGCTAGTTAACTTCAGTAACACTTCTGTAATTTTCTTGCCTTTTTTTTTTTTTTGTAGGCATGCCTCCCATTCGGGACTTGGTGAGCCACTCCCCTAACCAGTCAGGTTAGCTATTTAAATCTCGCCCTTTTTTTGTACGAAGTGTGTTTGTAGTAGTTACATGTTTCACACAACTTTGATTTTTTTTTTTTAATTTATTCTCTTGTTCTTTGGCTTATGTTTTTCAATAGCATGTGCTGTGTGAATAACTGGCTTAAGTATACTTTCTTTGTGCCATTACATACTACATTTGGTTAAACATTTTTAGTTTTATAAAATACCATCAGAACCAAACCTAACATTCATACCAAAACAGATGTTTCAGTTGTGTGGCACCTTGGCTCTAAAATACTAAGTGTCTTTTTTACCTTTATGCTTACACGTTCGATTGCCTCTTCGTGGTATTCGATTGAGTGATCTGTGCAAGCCGGTGCTTTGTATCAGAGACGTTTCACAGCGCTGTGGAGGAAATCACGTCTGGGGGCCTTTCTGTTTTGAGTGCTGAGTTTATGCTGGGGTAGCGCATCCCTGGGGCCTACAGCTGTGTATGTTGTTTACTGGGTATGACTGTGAAGAACACTTACTGTTTATTTTTAAATAATATTTGGAGCGAATGTGCTGTGTGAGGGCTTGAGGACATGCTGTGTGAAATGCTCTGGAGCAACGCAGACGGGGCTGCAGAGTGGTTTGTGCTGGCTCTGCTTCTGGCTGTGCCATGTACCCGTCGGGCTGCTGTGGGCGCAGTGCTTAGGAGAACGTTTCGTGTTGCATCTCTTCTGTTTGCCTTGAAGACTGCTCCTGACGGGATGATGTTACAGAATCACAGAATGGTCGGGATTGGAAGGGACCTCTGTGGGTCACCCAGTCCAACCCCCCTGCCGAAGCAGGGTCACCCAGAGCCCAGAGCAGGCTGCACAGCACCGCGTCCAGGCGGGGCTGGAATATCTCCAGAGAAGGAGACTCCACAGCCTCCCTGGGCAGCCTGGGCCAGGGCTCCGTCACCCTCAGAGGGAAGAAGTTCTTCCTCCTGTTCAGCTGGAACTTCCTCTGCTTCAGTTTGTGCCCGTTGCCCCTTGTCCTGTCGCTGGGCACTACTGAAAAGAGCTTGGCCCCATCCTCCTGACACCCAGCCTTCAGATATTTTCAGGTATATATTAGGTTCCCTCGCAGCCTTCTCTTCTTCAGGCTGATGTTAATCCTCTGCTCTGTCTTCCCCGGGCTGAATTTGGCCACTTGACAAGTCAGGCCAGAGCCCCAGCCGGGGGGGAGCGCGCAGGACGGTCCCTTTTAGGAGAGCTGCCGGCTGTGCTGGGCTAGGCGCAGAGGGACGCCGAGTCCTTGTCCTGGCAGCTTTCCTGTCCGGCATTAGCAGTTAGGAAAGTGTTGCAGCTACAGGCAAACAGCTACATCTGCTCGTTCTTGGGCTGGAGTACTGTAAGCAGGCAAAATCAGACTTCCAGACCTTTTTTTCTCTACCACAGATAAACACATACCTGACGTTAACAAACAGGGTTTATTTTTTTTTACTTTGACATTTCGTATTAAAGGTGCTTTTTAGCTTGTTTTCTAAAAGCTAAAAAGCTTGTTTGTTAAAACGCGTGTTTTCACAAGGACCGAAGGTACGATGATTGGCAAGGTGCTGTAGTGACAGTCTGTGCGTACCAGTGTGTACTGGAACTGGAAAAGGAGACGGAGGGAGAAAGATTGAGGTATTTCTTAATTTACACTTCTCAGTCCTACTGTTTATCTTAGACCATGTGATGGTACTTTAAAACAAAGAAACTACTTTAGAAAATACGTGCTGTTTCCTGCAGATATTTCCTGCAGGGGTAACTCATAGCTAGAAAGCATTAAATTATTAAATTACAGATTATGGAAAAAATCTCAGAAGATTACTGAATTTTAAGACACTCGGGTTTGTGTAAATTTTAATTTGTCCAGGATTTAAGCAGCGCAAAAGTTCAGGTACAGCTTCTAAATGGTTTGGGGGAGAAAACCAGAAGTAGAACTGTAGGCTGTTACAGGCTGGTTTTGCTGTTCACCGAATGCAGTAAGTTGTCAACTGCAGTTTTTAAGTTTTGAGGATGTTTTAGTGGCATCTGCCAGATAGGAAAAATTGGAGATAATACCCTGCTTATTCAGTATTTGTGTACTTAATCTCAGCAGTTTGTGGGTTGTGGAGATTCAGACAGGAATACTTCAGAACAGTGGCTCATACTAGAAATCACGAACACATCTTTCTGTCCAGGAAGAAGATTGTTAGTCAAGATAGTTTTTTATGTGATAGGATAAAATTCTGGATGACTAGAGATTAATCGTGATGTGCTGTTTGTGTATTGGCTCACTACAAGCTGTGTATTGTATCTAAACTAATACAAAAGAATTTTAATAAGTACAAGCTTTCTTTTTATGTCTGCTGCTGCTGTGCAAGTTAAGGTTTGTCTACCGTTTCACTCTGGCTTGTAGTCATAACCTGTATCACTTTCTCCACGCTGAATTCCGGCTGTTTGCCATCTGTGTACTTTGGTGGTGTTTTTAAAACTGATCATGTTATTGGGGTAATGTTTGTGTAATCAAGATTTTGTTTTGTTAGGGCAGCTTTTGATGCTGTTGATTGTCTTGTTCATATGCTCTCATTCATACTCACTTCAGAGTGAAGACAAGCCCTAACAAACTCTTAATTAGCCTTTTAATGTAAGGTAAATGTTGGTTTTTGAGGTACCAATGTGAGATTTGGAATCTTGGGTTTTGTTGGACAGTTGCTCAGGTGCTGCGGGGGTTTTTTTTCTGAGACATTAATATGCAGTTCTGGGTTATGTTCAGCTGAATGAATGTCTTCCAGTTCTCCCAGGGATGCTGTGTGGTTCCCCTCTTCCAGACTGCGGAGCTGCCAGGCACTTCGAACCATTGCAGCCCTATTTCTACCTGCCACAGGTCTTTTTCCACTACTCCCTGTTCCAAATTGCTGTGCCAGCATCCTTGTTTCTCATGCTGTAATTCGGATGTGAAACTTAACTGATTGCTGTGAACTCTCTCAAGCTTCCATCATCCTGGATGCTGGAGGAGCAGTGGGTGATCCCTGCTCTGTGCTCTCCAGGCCATGTACTCTTGGAGGCAGGGTCTTTTGGCTAGATTCTTTTTCACTATAGGATGAATAATGATATTGATTAAAAATGAATTAAAAATACACCAGCTTTTTGCACATCAGTGTAAAACTCAGTAAACTGTCCATAGTAACTTGAATGTCAGGGTTTTGATTTGTTCCTTCCCACTTCCTATAGGTCATCAGGGCCATAAATTCAAATAAAGTAGTATTTCAAATTTGTTACTCTGATTTCAAAATGTGGAATTTTCTGCTTGTCATGTTGTTCTCAGGTTCCTTTTGAGAGGTTGAAGCACTGAAACAAGGTCTCTTTTTAAATCTGCATCAGCTGTACTTCAGTTCAGATTGGTCAGTCGTGCTTGCACACGATAAACCACACGGACCTTTTTTGCGGTTGTGCTGGAGCAGTAAGAACAGGCTCCGCCTGTGTGAGAGGACAGGATCCTTGCGTTCGCGAGCTGAGCTGCTGCCAAAAGCTGTGTGTGTTTTAGCCTCTAAGTAGGTGACAATTTTGACTGGCAGCTTCCTTTCAGCCTCACAGTTAACACATATTTCTTGGAAACACAAGAGGCTTATAAATTAGTGTTACTTTTTTAAAGTAGCCAGGCCCTAAATGTTCTTGAAATAGCTTTTGAGAAAAATAAGTATTGATAATTGTAGCATTTTGTGAGTATTAGCCCTGTCTGTTAACAGGAACAGGTACAATTTCAGGAAGGTATTCGGGCAAAGCCACTGCACCTTTCTCTAGTCAGATGTAAGGCAGGTGCTGTAAAAACTCTGTAAGGATGAGCAGGAGCTGTAAAACTTTTTTCTCTTCTCTTTAGGTACATACATTTTTAGGTACATACATTTTTAATCTAATTAAGGGCAAAAAAGGGAACAACAGTAAGAAAAGTTGACAATTTAAAAAAAAAAAAGAATGTTTTAATGGGCAGAGAAGCATCATTTTCTACAGATAGAGCAACTGAGCGTACACTAGTATGATTTTTTCAGTTCAGGCAAATACTGAGTAAAAAAACCTTGCTGACATAATGCACTTGTGTTCTGTTGCCAGCTGCATTACTGTTTTCCATGAGCTTGCCCTCCATGGTTTCCTCTTCTGGGGCACCTGTCTGACAAGATTTGGGTTTCACAGTTGGGGAGGGGAGGTCTCTGCAGTAAAGCTTTAGACATACAAGATGAAAACTGATATCACTTATTCTATAGCAAATACTCCGTAATGAATGTATTTAACCATGAAAAGTTTCTAAGTTAATTAGGATGTATGTTGTCTTTATTCCCAGACATCATCAGCAGTAGTTATTATATAAATGAAAATGAGAAGTATCAGTTCAGCAACGGTGTTTGTGCTCCTGCAGGAGCAGAACTTTAGATTGGTCTTGTGGTTTGTGTGTCCAGTTGTTGTATAAAAGAAAGGATGTTAAATAGCTTGTACTTAAGAAATCTGATAGAATGTCTTTTAGTGGGGTGGGTGCGTGTGTGTTTCTCTGGCTGTTGTCACATTGCAATTGGTTCTACTAGGTCAGCTTAACAGCCTGTTTAGATTTCTGCCTTTCAGAATGTCTTTGATTTTTAGATAGTATTTTAGTTTTTAATGTGTATGTTTGTACAGAATACTTAGTATATGGTGATAGGGAGTGTTTTTTTAAAAAAAAGTTTCTCTGGAGAAAAGAACTGTACTTTCAGTGCTTCTTTGTGCTTTTTGTGAGAGTGCAACTTTGAATGCTGGCGAGAAGCGTTCTAGGCTGTGTGTGTGGTGGTGTTCTGAACAGCCGTACTCGAAAGTTTTCTCTGTGATCTTCGGTGACTGTAGTGTTAAGCAAAATAATCCTTGGCTTAGTATCTTTATACGCCATATTTCGCCCCCTCTTCTATTTAATGCAGTAGTAATACTAAATTTATAATAATTATCTTGGGCTTTCCTTCTTTTCTTTAGATCTGAACCACAGTGGTCTAGGATCGCACTATGACAATTCTCACTGGGGACCAGTCTCTTCAAATAGTGACTCCAGCACAAACTGGGATAAAGTTATTGTAGACGGCTCTGACAAAGAAGCATGGCCATCAATCACGGGCAGTGACCCAGAGCTGACATCAGAATGTATGGACACTGACTCTGCCTCTAGCTCTGGGTCGGAGAGAAACCTCGTTATAATGGCTTCAGGGAGCACAGGTGGTGAAAGTGATGGCATACGAAATGGCATTGGACATGGTTCTCAGAATAAGTTTGTGGTTGGTAGCAACAGCAATAATGTGGGCAATGGAAGTATTAATGGGCCGTGGGGTTTGTCCCACGGAACCATAATAAGCACATGTCAAGTTTCTGTGGATGCTCCTGACAGCAAATCTGAAAGTAGCAACAATAGAATGAATGCTTGGGGCACCATAAACTCTTCATCAAATGGAGGGTTAAATCCAAGCACTTTGAATTCAAATGGCAACCATGGTGCCTGGCCTGTATTGGAGAACAATGGACATGCCCTGAAAGGGTCTGTAGGGAGTGGTAATCCTGGCACAAATATTCAGTGCAGTACCATAGGTCAGATATCGAATAGTCAGAGTATCAACTCTAAAGTGGGTGGTTCAGCCCATGGTTCCTGGGGAAGCCTTCAGGAAAATTGTGATTCTGAAGTAAATGGTACAAGGAAGGTTTCATTCAGTGGGCAACCTCAAAACCTTAACACTGAAATGAACGGACCAAATAACACTACTAACTTTATGACCTCTAGTTTACCAAACTCTGCTGGTTCAGTGCAGATTAACGAACTGCCTAATAATACAGGGCATGGGGCCTGGCGTGTGAGCACAATGAATCATTCTCAGATTCAGGCCTCTCCAGTTGCAAACGGCACTTCCATTTCTCATCTTAGCAATGGTGAGGCGAAAAATGGTGGATCTTACGGTACTACGTGGGGTGCCTATGGTTCTAATTACTCTGGAGACAAATGTTCAGGCCCAAACAGCCAAGCTAATGGTGACACTGTGAATGCAACTCTAATGCAGCCAGGCATTAGCGGGCCTGGCAGCACTAACTTTCAAATCAATGGGAATAAAGGAGGAGGGGTGTGGGAGGCAGGGACAGTCAACTCCCAGAATATGCCGTGGGGGAGCGGAAATGGTGCGAGTGCTGGCGGGAGTAGAAGAGGATGGGGCAACCCTGCACAAAACACTGGCACTAACATTTCGAACGGGGAGTGGAGTAAACTGCCTAGTAATCAGCATTCCAATGAGAGCGTGAATGGAAACAGCAGGAAGTTTACAAATGGATGGAAGTCTACTGAGGAGGATGACCTTAACAGCCAGAGTTCTGCTGCTTCGCAGCTGACTGAGCAGAACAGCGCGTGGGCCAAAACAGGTACGGCGGACAGCGAAGGTAGTTCGGAGAGCACTGGATGCCATGAAGACAGAGTAACTACAGAAGGACAGAACCGAGAGAGAAGGAAAGTCGACCAGCATGCGTTACTCCAAAGTATAGTGAACAGAACTGACTTAGATCCGCGTGTCCTTTCCAACTCTGGTTGGGGACAGACTCCAATCAAACAGAACACTGCCTGGGATACCGAAACGTCACCGAGGGGTGAAAGAAAAACTGACAATGGGACAGAGGCCTGGGGAGGCTCTGTGACACAGACTTCCAGCTCAGGGGGGTGTGTAGATAGACCTAGCCCTAATAATAATGATACCTCATCTGTATCAGGGTGGGGAGATCCAAAGTCTGCTGCGAGGTGGGGAGACTCCAAAGGGTCAAACAGCCAAGGGGGGTGGGAGGAGGATTCTGCTGCTACAGTAATGGTCAAGAGCAATCAGTCGTGGGGAAGTGGCAAAGAGGAGAAGTCTTCTTGGAATGATGCACAGAAGATCAAACAGGGATGGGTAGACGGACAGAAAGCCAGCCAGGGTTGGGCAGTTTCTGCGGGTGAGAGCTGGGGCGAAAATTCAAGAAGTAACCATTGGGGTGAGTCTAAGAAATCCAGTTCAGGAGGAAGTGACAGTGACAGATCAGGATCTGGTTGGAATGAGCCAGGTAAATCAAACTCTGTTACTTGGGGAGGTAACAATACAAACCCAAGTAATTCGTCGGGATGGGATGAGCCTGCGAAGTCTAATCAGAACCAGGGCTGGGGAGACCCTCCTAAATCGAATCAGCCTCAAGTTTGGGGGGATTCATCGAAGCCAATCAACTCTCCAGAATGGAACAAACAAGATGTTGGCTCCTGGGGAGCACCCCCTGCCACAAACAAACCCCCAGGGTCAGGCTGGCTGGGGGGCCCAATGCCGGCACCAGCAAAGGAGGAAGAGCCCACTGGCTGGGAGGAGCCATCCCCTGAATCGATACGCCGTAAAATGGAAATTGATGATGGAACTTCTGCTTGGGGGGATCCAAGCAAATACAACTACAAAAATGTGAATATGTGGAATAAAAATGTCCCAAACAGTAGCAGCAGTTCAGACCAGCAAGCACAGGTACATCAGCAGCTACTGTCTTCAAGTGCCATGTCTAGCAAGGAGAGCAGTTCGGGTTCTGGTAAGACTTGGTTTTATGCAAGTTTGTGTTTCCTGTTAATTGTAAAACAAGTCTTTTGTTCTTCATTTAACGGTATTTTAGTTTCAAAGTGGAAACGGGAAGGTGCCAACGAAGTGCCATTTTTATTTATTAAAAAAGCCCCAATGCTTATAGGCATTTGATATTTTTATAGAGATTGGAAGATCTGTTCTAGTTTTGAATAGCTTAAGTAATAAAGACTGGACAGCTCTGCTTGAATTCCGGGCTGTGGGAACACAGAGAAAATATTTAAAATAGTACTTGAGGAACAGAAGTGTTCTTCCTTTGATTTTAAAATAGTTAAAGCTTAGCATTGCCAAAGAGCCCCCCCAAAAAGCATTGAGCTGCTACAAGACAGAATGCTGGGCGATGGTTTTATCGGGATGCAAGGTCAGACTTTCTGATCCTGTAGTTTTGGAAGCAGCGAATAATGATACTGGCAGATGAGTTTGTGTGGTGTTTGTGAAGTATTTTGTGCTCTGTCTCTTTTTCAAGTGTAAAGAGGAGTAGCTTAAATATAATAAGCAGCTCTTAGAAACCGAATATTTTAGAAATTTCTATTATCAAAACGGTAATTCTTTACATATGAAATTTCTATTTTTGTGATTTTTTTTTTTAATGGAACAGGTTACAGTTGTAATAATTGCCTACATACAAAATGTAAATGTGTACTAATATGCTTTTTATTGTGTGTTATGGATCTAGGAAAGGCAAAACACTTGAGTCTCTTTAGATAGCTTTTTAAATCCTGTTTAAAAACGTGCCAGTAACTCATACTGCTTTAAAAAGGTTGGGGAGAGCCTCCTACTCCAGCCACTACTGTAGATAATGGAACTTCCGCGTGGGGTAAACCCATGGATACTGGTACTAGCTGGGGAGAACCCATCAGCGATGCAGCAGGCACCTCTGGCTGGGGAAACGCTTCTCTTGGTCAACAGGCTCCGAATAAACCTGGTGAGTGCTTTCTGCATCATCTTTGAATAAAACTGTTTGAGGATGGTGGGAATACCTCTACAGAAGCTTTACATTTGTGAGGACTTTTTTATCTTGAAGCAAACGTCAGGCTAACCTCTGTGTTAAGGGCAGTCAGTTGCTACTGAAGTGTTGAGATGTTGGATTTTTTTCACAACCAGGGCCTAAATCTATGCAAGATAGTTGGTGTGGAGATGATATGCCGTTGACAGGCAGTCGTCAGACCAGCTGGGAGGAAGAGGAGGATGTAGAGATTGGAATGTGGAACAGCAGTTCTTCACAAGACGCGAACCCATCTTTAAATTGGCCACCATATATGAAAAAAATGCCCACAAAGGTAACGAGGAGGTTGAGTCGAGGTTTTTGTACTGTTGTAATTTCTAAAAGCTGAGTCAGAACAGATTGCTGCTCTGAGTGGAGTACTATTAAGCTTTGATCTTCATTCATACACTTTATGATGTAATTTAAGCAGTAGGTGGTAAACATCTTCTGAGTATCACGGGAATTCCTTTCTATTTTTAAGGGAATAATGAAAGGTGGAAATAAGCAAGATGAAACATGGATCAATCCATTCATTAAGCAATTCACAAATCTCAGTTTTTCAGTAAGTATTCTCCTTTACCTGGCTTTACTGCTGCCCTACAGTGCTAGTTATAATGCACAAAGGTTCAAATGCTCCATTGACTAGTGTTCATTTTCATAGTATTTTTCTTTTTACTTCGCTTTGTCTCTCCTCTGTCACCCATCCCTTTTCTTTGCATTGTCATTACAAAAAGACCTATTTATTGATGAAAAGTGTTCTTGTAAACACTACCCAGTAGTCTGATGTTTTATTTCGCATTACAGATGTATTTTGGTGAAGATGCCTGTTTTCAACTGGGTAACAACCAAAGGGAGAAAACGCTTTAAAATAGCATCTGATTTCTCTTGATTTTTTTTTTTCTTGCAGGTTTGAGTTGAAATAGTATATAGGAGTCTCTTTGTTTTAGCTTTTAAAAATATTACTATTAAATAATCATGGTGCATTTTATTACTTCAGAGAGAATCACCAGAAGAAACCATACAGAGCAATAAGATGGACATGTCTGGAGGTAAGAATATGAGAATCTAGCTGGGTTTTATTGCTTTCCTTTCCAGTCTTTCTTTTAGTTTATATCCTTCTGTAAATTACTTTTTAAAAACTCTATAATATATATAGTTGCAGCTATATATAGCGAAATACATGTTTCACTAAAGAAAAGGAATACCCTTGTGGAGAAAAAAATTTGTGCACGTGAGTAATGCTACACACCTGAATCACCTGGTTGCTGTAGCAGTAACATCCATACATCAAGCTAAGCTTATATATGTATTAAGCTGATATGAGAGAATGTTTTCAGGGTGTGGTGGGTTTGTTTCTTCTAATACAAGTATCCAGATTGCCTTCTGGATACCTCCGCTAAATAGAAACAGAAACACTCGCTCGTTGTGGTTCATTCTTGGAAACACATTTTCAGTTCTAAGAACTAAATTAATACTGAGCAATTATTTTAGAACCATTTAAATCTGAGTGTAAAATTACTTGTGAGCAGTTTTATTTTTATTTGAATCCATTGACTGTTATGATCGCTCTAGCAAATCAAAGGTAGTATAATTCTTTAATACATTGACAACAATAGAATATAACAATATAATATTTAATTAAAAGTAATTGTAGCATTGTAGTTTTTATTGTAGTTGCACTGTTTTCATTCAAGTTTAAAATATGGTATTTTCACTTTTGGGATCATAGTCTATTGTGTAAAGAAATTGTTCTTTGAATTTTAGATTTTAACATTAACGGCAAGCCTCATATTTAACCTATTTTAGAAGGTTTTTTTATTTGAATTTAAAACATCTGCGTGGAAAGTAATTCTCTTACACTGCGTGCTCTCTCGTTTTAACGAGAAAACCAATAATAATATTTTTGTGAAGCCGAGCAAAACGTGTTGGTGCTTTGCTGATTCCAGGTTTTGTCCGTAGCCAGATTCGTAGTGTTTCCTTTCCCTTTTCAGTAAGGCACGGAGAGTTTAAAGCTAGGCTGATGTTTTCGCTTGAGAGCAGCGTTAGTTCAGCTCTTCATAAGCATGGGCTGCTTTCTGGTGTATCTGGGATGCTGAAGGGTCCTCCAGCGTTGTGGTCGCACCTCTCGCCTTTCCCTAGGGTTATTGCAAGATAAACGGATGGAGATAGATAAGCATGGCCTCGGTGTCGGAGATTACAATCGTGTGGTTGGAAAAGGCCCTGGTTCTCGTCCTCAAATTTCCAAAGAGTCTTCCATGGATCGCGGTCCTTACTTTGATAAGGTTAGTAGGTGTCTTCCTGGTGGACACTTCTAAATTCCTTTGACTCTCATTCGAAGTAGTTATCTGTGTGCTTCCTTAGCTTTCTGCATTTAGTGGAGGGGAAAGTTAGGACTTTCTTGTTAATCTGTAAGATGTATTTTGTTCTTTTTAACTTACTGATATATAATACTAAGCACTTTCTGTAGCCCATTTGCGGTGCAAATAACTAACCTGATCTCTCTTGTTTTCTGCCTGTCTCCTGCTGGTGCTGGACTGTCATGTGACTCTTCCCTTCTGTTCCTGGCAATGGTTTCTCCCTGCCGCTTGCTTGCTGGCTGGTTGTTGCGCATCGGTTTGTCTGTCCGATCAGGATGGCATTGTAGCAGACGAGTCCCAAAACATGCAGTTTATGTCCAGTCAAAACATGAAGCTTCCCCCTTCAAATAATGCACTACCTAACCAAGCCCTTGGCTCCCTAGCAGGGCTGGGTATGCAAAACTTGAATTCTGTTAGACAGGTAAGGCTGTGTGCATATCCTTGGCATGCTACTTGACAACGTTTAATACCTTTTGATGTGACACCCTAGCTACCTATGTCATTGATACGTGTTTAACTTCTAATTGAGATGTGTGGGGGTGGGAGAAGCAGCAGCAGAGGTTGATCGTCACTAACTGTCCGTCCTTTCCCCAGAACGGCAATCCCAGTATGTTTGGTGTTGGTAATATAGCAGCACAGCCCAGGAGCATGCAGCAGCCTCCAGCACAACCTCTTAATTCATCTCAGCCTAATCCACGTGCTCAAGTGCCTCCTCCATTACTGTCCCCTCAGGTAATGGAGTACACAAAACATTCTGCATATAAACTACCAAAATGCTGCTTCACAAAATTGGTTTTTGTTTATTGCTGTTGCTGATGCCTATTCTGTAAATATTTGGAAACATACTTGGCTTGATGAGTGTTTGAGAAATTAGGCAACTGTTGACCAAAAGTTATCGTATGCTACAGCTGGTGTAACTGATGGCACATTACTGTCAGTCACGCTTCATCCCGCTCCGTTCTGCAGGTTCCAGTATCATTACTGAAGTATGCACCAAACAACGGTGGCCTGAGCCCACTTTTTGGCCCACAACAGGTAGCCATGTTGAATCAACTGTCCCAGTTAAACCAGCTTTCTCAGATCTCCCAGTTACAGGTAAGCTAACAAAGCTAGTCGCTCTGTGTTCCGTTTGAAAGTCTACATAGAGACTTACGTCAACTGCAAACTGTTGTTAAAAAACCCACCACAAAACACTGTCTCCTAGCGGTTGTTGGCTCAGCAGCAAAAAGCGCAGAATCAAAGAAGCATGCCTTCTGGTGGTCGTCAGCAGCAGGAGCAGCAGGTAAATAAATACGTTTATTACTAACTTCTCAAACTATCTTTAAAAACTGTTTTTCGTCCTGAGCTGCATTTCTTGTTCTAAACTGTATTAGTATGCAAGAGTGAGTGGGACTTTGAGAAGCTTTGGAGGAGTGACTTCGCTAATGCTGGGGTTTTGCTGTGCTGAGATGCACAGAGCACAAAGAGGCATTTCACCATCTTGCTTGAAACATGGAAAAGCTTTTGTCTATTTATATTGTAACTGCTCTGTTTTTTTAAGGGTCGATCTCTTAGTATGCAGCAACAGATGATGCAACAGTCCCGTCAGCTTGATCCAAACCTGTTAATGAAGCAGCAAACTCCACCTTCTCAACAGCAGTCACTCCATCAACCCACCATGAAATCTTTCCTTGAGAATGTCATACCCCACGCTACTCCTGAGCTACAAAAAGGGCCATCGCCAATAAACGCGTTCAGCAGTTTCCCTATAGGTGGGTCTCTCCGTGCTTTCGTACAGCCGGTTAATGCTTGGGCGACACGCAGCCTGTCTTGTCACGTTGTCTGCCTGCTCAGAAAACAGTAGTGGGTGTAATCCTGTTAGCACTTACGATTTTAATGGAAGTAGTAATTTTTTGTGGGGCTTATCCAGTTATCTTTGTTCACCAAAGAACTTTTTGCGCAAGTGCACTCATTCCCTCTATGTCTCTATTTCAGTGCAAAATGTTTTACATTCTTAAAGAATGTCTGTCTGCTTTTATTTCTCTTTTTATCCTCTGGGTCCCCAGGATGATACAAAGTCCTTTTGCAGTTAGGATTCCTGGAGCTAAAGGACTTTTGGAAGTAGAATCCAGACAAAGAATCCATTGATGTGGTCTCATTTCTTTGGATTTTGAAAATGTTTTCAGTGAATCTAGAATTGCATAGGTAGAACAAAATGTTGATTTCCCTTGTAGTGGTTTTGTCCAGGAAAGCAAGCTTTCAGCTCTGCATTGTTAAAGAACAGTTGTCTCATTTCAGGCAAAATGTCTGAACATTTATAAATACAAACATGTCCTGTTTCTTTCTCCCTACGTTTCCAGGCTTCTGTCCAATTTCTACTTCAGAAATTCCAGGCTTGTATATTTTCTCCTTACTTTAGGTCCCTTTTTAATGCTACCTCACACTTATTACAACTGTATACCATTTACCTTTTGTTCCTTATCCCTATTTTTTTCCTCCTCTTCAGTTTGCTTTTCTTCTACGCTGTTCTAATCTGGTGACTTCTGTTGGGCTGATTTCCTTTGCATTCCCATTGCCCTTTGTCGAAAGTTTGTTTAACAGAGACTGCTGCTGAAGCCCTTGTGCTTACAGGTGGAGCGGCGTGGAGCCGGAGGGTCGGGGCCGGCCGGGCTGTTGCACTGCATGTGGCACACTGCAGTTTTGCTCGTGGCCGGTCTTAAGTCCAGGCTGCTGCTGCTTAGTAGTTGCTGCTGCTGATTGGCATTAAGATCTGACTACTGCTTTCATTCAAAGGGCAAGGCATAAAAATGAAGCTTGTCTAGCTGTTAGAGGCACTATGTTAGGCCTAATGAAAGGAATATTTAACTTTCTCGCCAAACTTCATGCTGAGTAATTGCATCCTGCCTATGCGAGGTTCCTTTCTGTTTTGTTTCTTGAGTTGAATTGTTGTGTACAATTGTTGAGTAGCTGCTTTCTCACCTTAATCATTGCCACATTTCAGGAATCTGCAGTATATGTAAGATTGCTTTGAGATCCCTCAGGAGTCTGCTGCAGTATACGTAAGAATTCTTTGGGACCCCTTTGGAGCAGTACTGTGTAGTGATACAAGCAAGTGGGAGCCACACTCAGTCCACAAGTAAAAGCTGAAGGGTAGAAATAGTAGGTTGCTGGATTTTTTTCACCCTTTAGTGAAAAATTGAGTCAAGAGGAGTATTGGTAGCATCTTCCAAAGTATAGTAGCGTAGTCATGTGAGAAAGAGCTGAACTTGCCAAGCTGTCTTCAGGCTCTGACGACAGCCAAATGGCAGAGGGAGGGGTGTCAGAGACTGCACTGATTGGACTTTTTCCTATTTTCTGTTTCAGCTATTGGTAGTTGTTATGTTTCTTAAAAGTTGATGTCCTGTTACAAGGCACTTTCTCTGAGGCTTTTCAAGGGCTGCTTTTCTGGCATCAACATCTGCTCATGCCTTTAAGAAAAACAAACAAAAAACCCCAACCAAACAAAAAAATCAAACCAGCTTTTATATGGCAGTGAATGTCAACTTAGGAACAAAATTAAGCACCGGTTTCCAGTGCTGAGTGAAGGTGTTTCTAGTAGAGATTCGAGAAGTTCCCTGTGTGCCTCTGGCGCCAAGTTAAGATGTTGTAGTGGTTTATTTTCAGAAATGAAATAAATAGGTCTGAAGGGCTGGGAATGTAAGCAGGTATGATGTTCAGGATTCTCACAGACCTGGAAAGAGAGCAGGCATGCCAGAGTCAAAAGCATGGGCCCGTTGTTCAAGCCCAGAGTAGCTGGTTCTTACAGGTATTTGGACTGATTTGGGTTGGCATTGTGTTGATTCTCTGGCAGCTAAACATTTTGGGATACAGACAACAGCCTAGAGCAGGCAAAGACAAAGTTTTGTTTGTTTTCTCTTCAGTGTAAACAGCAGAAATGGAGGAGTGGGATAGTAGTACTTGTGCAGATCCCTGCAAAGTGCTTAGATGTCTGTGCTAGTGTGGGTCAGAAGCTGGCAAGGCGTCCCGTTGAACAGCCAGATGAGAATGGCAGTGAGGGGTAGCTGTGGATACTGGTGTGTAACTTCTGCCCAACACGGATGAGTCCTGACACGCCCTCCTGCTGAGAAAAGCGTCTTGTATAACAGAGTGTAGCTCTTCAAAGTACAGCACTTCTGCTTGGTGCAGATGAGACCAGTCTAGCACCAGCACGACAACTGGCATGAGAAATGCCGCGTTTTTCTAGGCACTTCCATGTTCGTTTCTCTGACTTCCTCAGTGGCTTCTTCCACTGACATTTTTGCATGAAGACATCGGCTGAGAAGCGAGCGCTTTGCATTGCTTAGCTTAGCTTCTGTCTGTAGCAAGTTCACTGTATTATACCCTAGAGTGTTTCTCAAAAACAGAGACTTGGAAGCATGAAATAACCATAGCAATATACTGTTAAATGTTTATTAGGGCAATAGTGGTAATTAGCAGAAGAAAAACCTTTAGGCTGTATTTCATAAGCTATATATGTTTTTAGGAATGAACTCAAACTTGAATGTAAACATGGATATGAGCAGTATTAAAGAGCCACAATCTCGACTGAGGAAATGGACTACAGTAGACAGCATTTCTGTGAACACATCGTTAGATCAAAACTCCAGCAAACATGGTATGTTAAACATGTCATTGCGTAGCACTTGACGTTGCACATCAGATTTTCACATTCTGTCTATAAAATGCAGGTTTGCTCCATTTCGGCCTGTGGTTGTAACTACTGTGTTACTGGTAGCTGTCAGAATTTGTGTTGTCTGTGCCGAGGCTGCTGCTTGTCTTGCACAGCAGCGCACAGCTTGCTTCAGTGTCTTCACCTGCAGAAGATGAGATTTAGAAGAAATGTTGTGCAGAATTCCTATTTAACCAGACTTTTCTTAAGTGTGACTGTTGCTACTAACTCCATCTTAATCTGTATTAGAATGCTTCATATATTTTTACATCAAAAGCTTTATATTTTCTAGCTTTCTTTCCGCCACCCTTAAGGTGGCCTTAAGGTGATTTAGGGGTATTTAACGCTGTGTGCACACATTCCGGTCATGTCTGACATTTTTAGTTACAGGTTTTGGTTATCAGTGGGTGTATTTGCATTCTAAAAATGGGGAGAGCTTAGAAGGGATAGACTAGCACCATCGCTGTACTTAGTTTTAGAGGAGGCAGACTTGGTTGCTGCATGTTTCATTCCAGTAATCAGGATTCATACGGCATTTCAACTGTTTCAGTTGCTTGAAATCTCATCCAGTTAAAATTTGAGTCTATAGCACAAAGGTTCTGTGTCTAAAGATAGTTACAAAATGTCTCCAGTCTCCTGTTACTGTTCAGTCTTCAGATTGTTTGGGTATTTTTAGATTTGTCAGCTGCTTTACTGCTGTGCAGTGACTTGCCGCTTGAAGCATCTAGTGGGGATGCGCTGCTGCTGCACTTCTGCCCTGCGTCGGCTTGTGGCCACACAAGTCAGGGTTACCTGCTGCAGCTGTAGGTAGCGTTTTCTGAATCGTGGCAGCAGTTTGATTATTTGAACTCCATTTGCATGGAATCCCTGGGAAGTCATCTGTTCCCTCAGAACTGTAGAAGATCTGTGGGTTTGCTGCCTTACAACTTTTAGGCTTCTCCTTACGGGACTGGCGCAGAAGTAAACAGGTTGTGTGCAGTGCCTTTGTTCCTTGCTCTGCCTCCAGTGATTTTTATTTTGTATTTCTTCCCCTCCCAGGAATGTAAGTGGAAGTGACAGAGCTTTGCAGTAGCTAAAAATCCTTCAGATTTTATAGATGTTTCTTCCAAGAGCCTTCCCATCACAGAATATATTCACTACCCCTGTTATCCAGCTGGGAGTCTCACAGAATGCTCTTAGCCTCTGAAATTAATATTTTGCTTAAATTTAATAAGTATACCGTTTTAGTGAAATTATTTCATGGATTGTTCTTAGTGTTTTCGCCTGAATTATTCAGAGACGTTTCATTTTAGATTATGTAATCCTTCATGACTTTCTATATAGCCTGACCTCAGAAGAGGACAGTGTGGTGCTCCATGTTTCAGGAACGCTTTCCGAGGGTGTGTTTTTGTATAGCTCGAGATGTCTAAATATAAAAATCGGCTATGAAATACACGACAACTTTTTTTTTCTAATTAGGTGCTATTTCAAGTGGTTTTCGGCTGGAAGAGTCTCCGTTTGTCCCCTACGACTTTATGAACAGCAGTAATTCACCAGCCAGTCCTCCCGGCTCGATTGGGGACGGCTGGCCCCGTGCCAAATCGCCCAACGGCTCCCCGCGCGGG